TGCTGTCGGAAATTTAATACATGCTTTGCCATATCCGCTTGGCCTCCATCAGTTCATGGTTGGTAGTTGGAAACTTGATCCATTCGTTCGACTGTGCAACTATGCTGTTTACAACTCTATCCACAGTCCGAGATACCGTTGCTTGACTAACACCACGTTCCTGACCAATACCTTGTTGACATCCAGGGTCACCGAGATAGCGTAGACAAATCTTTATTTTATGAATACATGAAAGTGCTCCTCCTCTAGTTTCCTCATTCTCAACTAAAAATCTGTCCGCAAGCCATTGTACATTTGCTTCGTCGAAACGATATAATTTTTTTAAGTCACGGCCAAGTGAAGGTAAACGAGGTTTGTACGTTTTAACATCCTTAACATCCACAATTTCCGCCATCATCGTTTAACCTCTTTTCGTTACGAAGTTGAGTCTGATATTGACCACACTCAGAGTTTTAGAAGGATATGCTTCCTATGCCAAGTATAAGGTGAAGATTATGAATATCCTTTTTCTTATGTCACTGCTTTGAAGGATATGCTTATACTCAAAAAACAAAAATATTTACTTCCAATTATTATAAATACCATTTGGACGATTTCCTTCAAAAATTGCAAGTACCAGGATATCCTTTGTTTTATAAATACGGCTCAATGTCACAGAAAACCTATATATACCTACAAAAAAAAATACCGACATAATGCCACATTTCAAGATACGTAATACCCCTGCCCTTTTACAGTCAAGAGCATGAGAAATGTTGACCAGACGCATGCGCACTAACAAAACAGATGATCCTTCCTGTCATTTCCTAGCAACTGCCAGCACGGGTATCATGTAAAAAATCTACAAAACGTCAAAAAAACTTTCAGACTATGTAATTTTTAGGGCGCAAGCAGTCATTCCACGTTTGCTCACTAGGATCGTTGTGAACGTCCATCTATGGAGGAATCACTCAGCTAAGCTAAATGCCTTATCGGTTGTATAGTTTTGTGATGCTGAGTGATCCGTGACTGTGATTTTTATCTCTGAGAAGAAATTTGGTTGAGTAGCAAGATCGCATAATGTGTATTGGTCTGCATGTGCATAAAATCAGTGATATTTGCTGTGTGAGAAAATCATTACTGAATATGCTGAATATGATGGGTAAGTTCTGCTTTCTGAAGAGAGGTTATCTTCAAAGTTATAAATTACGGAAAATTGAGAATTACGGAAAATCATCACCGCGCCCGCGTTGTGTGTAATTACTATTAGCATGCATATGGCTTGTACTTCGACAGTGTACAGAGAATATAATTATTTATGGTCTCTCTCTCATTTTTGCAATTCAGCAAATTTGTATATGTAATTTCCAGAATGTATAAGAAAAAGTGGCTGGGCAACTAATTTCTAGCTTTGAATCTCGATTAAGTGTATTTGAGACAAGAATCCAATGCAGCTTAGACCTCCATTAATGCCATCTCTGCAGCAGATATTACATAACATCAGAGCCAAACATTGATAACTAAAGCCTCATAATGTTTAGGCAATATGTACAACTAAGTGCTAAGTTAACATCTTGTAGAAAAACCTACATAATGTCAAAAAAACAGTATAATGTCAAAAAAATCAGCATAATGTGACTTTTCAACATATGTGATACCCCTGCCGGTCTTGCATGATAATCGATCACATGGATTTCTCATTCAAGTATGTCTGCATTTCGGTGAAATACATAGCGACCAACAAAGGTCCTCTATACAGGTGTGGTTTTTTGTGTGGTTACATGTATTTGTTTACAGATAAACGTTTGATTGTGTTTTTATGTTGGATCGTCTGAGACCAGTTTTTAGACATTAAAGCCATGTGTTCTAAATGATGAGAAATCAAAACCAAAATTATAGCTTACGAATGTGACAGGGAAAATTTCCTCCGTTAGATCGGCCACCTGGCTCGTTTAAATCGAGGAAATAGAGCCGTCGTTCAACTGCAACTGGTTGAATGCAGTTGTAGACAAAACAATGCCACTTTGCAGCTGCAAGAGCTTGCATGCAATGGACATGCGGACGATAAAACGGTTTTTAGGCTCTATAAGTTTTGTATAAAACATCTTTTTCTAAACGGTCATACAAAAAAGTTTTGAGGACAATTTTATTATTGCGGGACACCTTGTATAAGCATCTGGCAGCTGTCATCACCGAGGAGAAGTGTCTGGCAATGTTGATTATTACTTCGTATTAATGTTTTACAAAGAGTATCCAGAAAGTTGGGTCTTTCCCTTTCAGAAACAACTACGTTCGAAATAAATCAACTTTCCGGTAAAACAGCACCGAAAGCGTAAAAAAGAAAGTCGTCTACTGGCGTCTACTAGGCGCCCGATTTGGATACTGACTCACTTAGTATCACAAAGAATCATACCGTTTCACAGGGGAGGAGAGGGAGGGGGAGGAGGAGGAGGAGGAGGAGGAGGAGGAGGAGGAGGAGGAGGGAAGGGGAGGGAGGCAGAGTAGGACCGGCCCATTTAGTTTGGACTTTTCGAAACTTAATATCTTGGTTATCTTAAAGCTTTGGTACATGCGTTACTAGAAAAACTTGCTTATTATTGCCTGACCTACATGTATATGCTGTGTAAAGAAAAGTACCAAATTTGAGAACAACCAGTATAAAAGTCAGCCATTCGAATTTAAGTAAAGTTATTATTAAGTCTTATTTTTGCTTAATCTTTCCTACCCGGTACCAGCAAATTGGACCATTATCCAACTTGAAGGTTACGCAGGCGTTGAAAGTATACAGGGTGTTCCCTAATGATATGGGAATATTTAAGGGTGTGAATCTACATAAAAAATTAATGTAATGAACAACAACAACTGACAACATAAACATAACATTAAAACCAACGAAATGATTACAAAAATTGTTGAAAATGACCCCGTTCACTTAGTATGCTTTCTTACGCCCTCTTTATCAAGGAATTGCGCACTCGTTGAAATATCCCTGGAGTGTTTTTTATTCTATCACAAGCTGCATCTATTCTTTCTCTTAATTCCTCTACAGTGTTAATGGGACTTGCCTACACTTGTGTCTTAAGATAGCCCCACAAAAAGAAATCTAAATTGTTGAGACCTTGGTGGCCATTCTTGGGGCCCACCGCGGCCAATCCAACGATTTGGATAAACAGTTTGTAAATAATTACGAACCGCTACACTGAAATGCGCTGGTGCATCATCATGCATGTACCACATATTGTTTCTTAGTACTAACGGAACATCATCAAGCAGCAAAGGCAAGTATTGTTGAAGAAAATTGGGTATGTCTGTCCGTCAAGAAGAATGGGCCAATAAAGTGGTTGCCAATAATTCCTGCCCATAAGTTAACCGAAAATTGGTGTTGGAGATGGCTTTCGGTTGCCCACAAATGATTATTGTGGAAATTCTGAATGGCATTTCGAGAAAAATTAGCTTCGTCCGTGAACAGAATCATTGACTCAAATTGCGGATTTTGTGCAATTTTTCAAAGATACCACTGACAAAAAGTCACCCGACTTAGAAAATCCATGGGAAGTAATGCCTCTACTCTTAAAATATGGTAAGGATATAACAACACTAAAATTCTCCAAACAATTTGATGTAAAATATTTAAGTGTCTAGCGATCTTCCTCGTACTCGTTTCAGGACGTTCTTCGACTTCATGTAGCACTGCTTCCTCAATTTCAGGTTTTCTCAGGTCTACCTTCAGATGTTCCTTTTCGGACAGAACCAATATCAACAAGACGACGATGAATATTAGGAAAGGGTCGAATATCTGGCAAAGCACGATCGGGATATCTTTGGTGATAAGTCCGCCTGGCTTGCTGACCATTACCGTCGGCAAGGCCATATTCGTAATGCATTTCCGCCATTTCTGCATTTGAATAATTCACCATTATTAACATGATTGTAAAAACTAAATAACGAAAAAGATGTCACAACGAACATATTTGAATAACAGAGACTTGTCAGATGTCAAAAGCCAGTGACATATTCCAGAGCAACTAGATGTTTATTGCTAAATTGCATTCTTCAATTATTACATTAACTTTCTCGGAACGGTTTTAATTTTTTTTTTATTCAAAAATAGCGCATTGAAGGAAAACAATTCAAGATGGATCATTTGTTTGAACGGGAAATTTAAAAATAATTTTTATTTGTCAAACAATACTGTTAAAGCTAAAAATTATTTTTGCATTGAAAAATATGCAACTTTATTAACTTTCTCTACGTACTAAATATCAGTGAAATATCTGAAGTGGTTCTGAAAATATTAATAAATTTCCATTTTTTTCCTAAAACACCCCAAGTTTTTGTAAGGAAACATTTTTGGACCATAGTTTATGAAGCAAACTAACATATCATTAAGGAATACCCTGTATAGTATATAGGGTGGATCGAGGCGTGTCGGATCACTGAATGAATCGGATCAAAATAGGAAATCGGTTAATATTTTGAACAAGACTTTAACACTTTTGCTTTAATCCAATTCACCCATTGATCCGATTTCCATCGGTGTACCATAAACGTTATTTAGTGCTCCATGTTTTGTCTTTTAGAGAATATGTAATGTCTGTCAGCCCTGGGACTACTACAGACAGGCAAAAACGTTCACCCTAAAATAAGCTATTCTACCTGACGAGATACTTTCGTGTTTCAGGTAGTGTTGCCGTGAAATTCTCTTCTCCTACTCACAACTTTATCTTCGAAACTCTGCGTTGAAATACTTCCGGCTATGGCCAAAAAGCACAAAATTCTTGCTTTGTTCCTTTTCGGAATACGTTCCAACAGCACATTTCAGTTTCAGCAACAGAAAGTTGGAAAAGAGAAATATTGTAAATTATGAATGAGCTTACTTGGCGAAACTCTTCTATCATCACTACAATAAACGTGCAAAGTTCCGCAATAAAAATGCAGCGTTTACGCGTTCTGCCTTTTAACTAAAAAGCATTGTCAGCTAATATTCTAGAATGATACAGTTTAGTTCTTTTTTATACTAGGAAATAAAGCCGTGGGATTCTTGAAAGGTCTGGGCTCCCTCAAAACTGTCAGGGTAATCCCTAAAAAATTCAAGCAAGAATTGCTCCACGTTAGGGACCGCATCTTCAAGGTATCTTTGGTGCCATCTTATTCTGCTATAGCCTGGATAAAAGCAAAGAGTAGGATGCAGATTTAAACTATAGGCTAGTGTTACTTACCCGGTTTCGACGACAATGAATTTCCTTCCCCCACCATCGTTTGCGTTGGCCAATTTTTTCACTTCAAATACTTCGTAGTACCTCACGATTGAGCGGGCACTGGTGCCCTTTAATCATGGGGCCCTAAAAAAAACACATATGTAGGAGCTGATTGAGAGGTAGAGACTAATATTGCAAACAAAACAAAGGAAAGTAGCAACCCACTACAACAGACTATTAGAGAAAATTCCGATTTTTTCTATCAGAAATACTTTCTTCTTTCTTTCACTCTGTGACTATTCGTATCAACATAACAGTCTAACACTCCTCGTTAATTAATTGATGTCTTATTGATATCTAGGATGTGCACTATGTTTACGAGGGTTCTTTTAAGTTTTGCATATAGAAACATAGTAGGACGCGCGTATCGAACGTCAGTACTGAATCTTAACCTCACTCTTTGGTAAACTTAAATTCAAAGTTTCACAACAATACGTGCAGTGTTCTCGCTACAGTGAATTTTTAAGTGTCACTAAGTCATTAGAAAAATGGAACTCAATCGAGAACATTTTCGCGCCATAATTTAATACAACTTTCAGAGACAATTATCGCAATAAGAATGCCTTGCTGAGTTACTGCCTGTTTTTGGCATCGAAGCGCCACATCAGTCGACAATTTCCCATTGGTATGAAGAATTCAAACGTGGACGGGTTAGTCTTAGCGACGATCCCAGGGTGGGTGCACCAAAAACGGCAGTCACCCAGGAAAACGTCGATGCTGTGCGTAAACTCATCATTGAAGATAGACATGTGAAATATCGCGAGATTGAGGCGTCCTTGAAGATCTCAAAGACCTCAATTCAAAAAATTTTACATGAAGAATTAGGAGTAAGAAAATTAGTTTCTCGTTAGATAACCCAACTGTTGACTGAAGAGCAGAAAGCAGCCAGGTTAATTGGTGACTGTTTCAATTACGTAAACTCAAAAAATGTGTACAGTATTGTTAGTGGTGATGAATTGTCGTTTTACTGTTATGAACCAGAAAATAAACGGCAGCCGGCTGTTTGGGTGTTCCAAGGTGAAGAAGAGCCAAGAAAAGTCATCCGTTCTCGAAGTGTTTCGAAAAAGGTGGTCGCGACATTTGTGTCAAAAGCGGGTCATATTGCAACAATTCCTCTTAATGAGCAAAGAACTGTTACTGCGGATTGGTATACCACCATTTGTTTGCCAAAAGTCATCACCGAGCTTCGAAAAATCAACCCCGAAAGAGGAATCATCCTCCACCAAGACAATGCAAGCTCGCAAAAAACAAGGCAGTATTTGACGGAAGAAAACGTGGAATAATTGGGCCATCGTCGATATACGAGTAGTCCCGATTCCTAACGATTTCTTTACTTTTCCGAAATTTAAAAACAGACTGGGTGCTCAAAGGTTCCAGTCACCAGAAAAAGCAGTTGACGCATTCAAAAATGCCGTTTTGGATCTGCCAGCAAACGAGTGGAATAAGTGCTTCGAAAATTGGTTCGATCGCATGCAGATGTGTATTAATCTTCGTGGAGAATACTTAGAAAAACAATAAAGTCATTTAAAACTACCTACCGTGTTGTTTTATTTCCATATGCAAAACTTAAAAGACATACCTCGTATTTGACAAACACAGTTTCTGACTAAAAGGGTGGATTCATCGTGATTTCCTTCTTTCCGGTGTTGAAGAAACTTTTCATCAATCGAATATTTTATCTAAAAAAATCAACCATTTTATCTTTGTTTTTTGTGTGGGTTTGTTGATAATCATTACGTTTTTGAAAAACTAAAAAATGTGTTTTAGTTATTCAATTTAATGCGCTTTTAACTGAAATAAGTAACTACATTTACTTTTTATTTGAATTTCCTGTCACCGTGAGTGTAAAGTCATTGTTCTTAATTTTTTTTGAGCTCTGAAGAAGAAAATAAACGTTGGAAACTTTATAACAGGAACTTGTGATCCTATACCTCCCAAATCCAATAAACCAAATGTTATGTCAAGTAAATAAGGAGCATCCTAAAACTAATGTTGCAACGTTTCTTTATTTTTTGAAAATTCATATTGTGGAAGTCTCAAATTGTACATCTTCTGTTGCCCACAAATTACAGGATGATCTATATCTGGGCAATTTTCAGTGTTGGCTCCTATCAATCAAAAGTCGAACACTTTCTTAGTCAATCACGTTTTAGGATTTTTGAAATCAACTAAGATGATAAAAACAAATCCCTTTTCAACACAACTGATACCTTCTCGAAGACTGCTATAAAAGACACAAAATGTTTAGAGATTTTTGGCCCTAAGCTTGAATCTAAAAGCGGAATTCTTCTAAAAATGCATTTAGCTAAATATAGCTTATGAGCATTTTTCAAGGCATTGAGTCCTATCTTTTAGCCCAAAGGTTATTTAACGACATAAGGTAACGGTAACTCCTGCTGTCTTTAAATTGACTTGTGCTCATTGAAAATAAGAATTGTCTGTACTTATTTTTGGCTCGGTAACGGCTACAATTTAGTTATTGCTCTTTATTCATCATTTAATTTATTTATTTTTATATCCACCTAAGAGCTACTCCAAGTTTTTATCTTACATATAGCCGGTAGTAGATAAAAAAATGTATTTGTATCATAGCGCCATAAAACATTTTAGGTTTATTTGAGGTTTAAAACTGTTTTATTGTAGTAAATAAAAATATAATGGTTTTGAAGTTATTTAGTACATATCCTGCCAAAATTTATAAACTATTTAGCATTTAGACTGGTTTTAAAGAATCTAATAATATTATCAAATAAGGTTAATTGATATTAATTTAACTTGTGGGCAGTTTGGTTTTATTACGTTTTAGTTTGTAGTTTTTAAACAGTTTTGATGTTTCTTTTAATATAATAAATGATAAAACCCATTGTTAAATCTACTAGATCTTACGACTATAATCTTAGCAAATAATATGCCTTAAAACTATTTATTTAGCTTTTTTAAGGTGTTTTTTAAATGTAAGTTGCAGGCTATATTAAAACTGAAAACTCTTAACTCAATAAATTTACTTGTCGTAAAGACTAACTATACTTCTTATTAGAAACAATAAAACTAAGCTCATCCCCTTTTATTTCATGCTCAAAGTGGAGACCGCAATGTATGAAACATCGGTGTAGTGTATTGCTAATTTTAACAATTTTATTAGTAGAAACACATCACTGCACGAAAACTCGTCGATTTGAGGGTTATGCTTATATTAAAACCGAGCGGCACTTATCACATGAGTATTGAAACTAAACGGTTTAGTGCCAAGGACTCCAAGCTGTTATGTAGAACATGTGCTCTTGGAACGGTATAAAATGAAACCCTTCGACCCTAGAGTTTCCCTGTCGATTGACTAAATGGATTTATTTAATTTTCGCCCATCTTGTTTTCTCGAGACGGTGATCGAGATGATGGATAATAATATTAATAATAGTGGTAAATTATTAACTTACGTAATTCCAATTTATTTTAACATAAAAAAAACTGTTGAAATTATAGTTAAAATTATATATATATTTTTCATTTAAATTGATGTTTTGCACGTTTTCTAATTTTAATTGTAAAACTTCAGAAATTTTCATGCGCTCAAGTTTTTTAAGACACAATAATAATAATAATAAACGGCTTTATTGGCGGAGTTTAGCACGGCTATTCTTACACTCAACCTTTCTAAGCTTGATGCTAATTTGACATACAATATGGTATTTTACATATACAGGGTGTGTGCTGTACGGTTCCGCGGTTAAGTCTCACCTAACTAAAATTGACCGAATACAATATCAGGCCTTGAGAATTTGCATGGGAGTCATGAAATCAACACCATGTCCAGCAATCTTAGCTGAAGCAAGGGAACCTCCTCTTTCATTACGAAGAAGGTACTTTGCAGAGAAGGCTGTTGTCAAATACAGAACCTATAACAAATACTTGCTTAATAAGATATCACAATAAGTAACTACAGACTTGACTAACAAGTACTCGAAAAAAATCCTCACCACTGCTAGCTGAAGCTTTCGTAGAGACCAGTCATCTCGCTAATTTAATTCATCCTATGGATAATTACCCGTTATATGTTGGCCCTTATGAAGTTTTCCTTAATGAAACAACCATCACAAGCCCTACATATACCGAAAACTTTTATTACAATAGGTCTGTTCTATCTGCCGTATTGGAAGATCTCAATTGCCACACTGTCGTCTATACCGATGGCTCCAAAAGTGAGATGGGTACTGGGTGCGCATTCTACGTCCCACAAAAAGATTATTGCAAGGAATACAGGATTTCTGACCTGTGCTCCATATTTACAGCAGAAGCCTATGCGGTACTACAGGCGATTTTCTGGTGCCTTTCCAGATCAGTCTTAGAAGCAATTAAACAAAAATCCTGTTAGATCATATGATAATTTTTATTATGCAAAATCAGAAACTTACTCGTCGCTTATCAAGCCAAAAGAGCAAAGATAAATTTTGTTTGGGTAAAAGGGCATGCTGGCATCAGAGGCAACGAGATGGTTGATAAAGCTGCAAAAAATGCAATTCACTCTAGTACGATTACCCATGTACCACTTTTTTCTGATTTATTCATAGAGATCAGAGGTAACATCAAGAAAAGATGGGATTTGATCTGGTCCAACTTTGTAGTAAACTCTCGAAATCATTATGCTCTTATTCACCCGACCCTTCCCAATATAATTCCCCACATAGATCTCTTCTATATGAATAGAAGATTCTCCACAATTATAACGAGATTGAGATTGGGTCATGGTTGCTTTCCTGCTCATCTTCATCGAATAGGTGTAATAGAGTCCCCAAATTGTGCTTGTGATGAATCTTCTATAGCGGATCTAAATCACATATTTTTTGCTTGTAATCTTTACACCAATATATCCAACCAATTAATCGCTCAGATGATTAAACTTGGCTTCCAACTACCTTTAAGTCTGACTACCATTTTATCCTTT